TCCCTCCCTCCCGACCGAGGAAGCCTCGGCGTAACCTTATCCTGTCCTGCCGAGCGCGCCCTGCCGCTGGAAGGGTGGTGGGCCGAGCGCGGTAACAGGGCGCCCTCTCCGTCCCTCCGGAGGTGCCAGGGCCCGGTTGTGCAGGGTCCCTCAAGAGGTGCCCTCCGCCCCGGCCTCCAAAGCCTGACAGAGCTGAAAGATATAGGGCCAGAAAAAGCGCATTCCTAACGGGATCCCGGGCCATAGCTTCATTTTCTGATATTAGTGTTGTTGGAGAAACACAGGAGGAGGGTAGGTGAGCATACAAGGAACAGTCAAGCAGTTTGCACCATTAAGCACAATGTAAAAATAAATAGCACTTAAGCCCGGGTTTACAACTTCTCTCTCTCTCTCTCAAGAAAGAAGGGATTGGGGAGAAGAGAATAGCACTCAATGCAGAATAATCAAATTAGAGTTATTCTATATCTAAATTCTGCCTGAAGCCAATTCGTACTTTCTTTCCGTGTTATGAAATGTGTGGGGGTGAACAAGGAGAGGGAAAAAGCCAGCTAAGACATCTGACAGCGGGTGGGGGGTGGGGGTGGGGAGAGAACAGAAGTTACCATGGCATGATGTAAATCAAATTAATTTAGCTCCAAACACACACCTCCCTGCTGTCTCGCAGAAACACAGAGGGACAAATTTATCTTTCGGCAAAATGCTCCCCAGCTGGTATTTCCATCACCACCTTGACCTTAATTAATCAGACTGAACTCTCACAGCCTGAAGTCCAGTGGTGGATGTTCCATTTTCAACTGTTAGTAGAATCCTTTCCCACAACCCAGTTGGGGTGGGTTTGGGTTTTAGGTTTGAGTTTGGGTTTAGAATTTTTTAAGCGGTAGTCACTTTCCTTTTTTTCCTTGCTTTACTCTTTCATTTTCCATGCTTCCGTGGGAGACTGCGCCTGCCGACCTATTCTCTTCCCCGGTAACAGCCTACAGCATGGACAAGAGACAACAAATACGGAGCCCTACCTCCCTGCCCTTTTGAATGTTGGGTATTTTCTGTAGGGAGGCCTCGTCTCTAAAATCCTCTTCTCTTCCTGGCTTAAGAAAGACCCAATTTATTCCCTGCTAGTGAACAAAGCAGTTGGGCTGTTTCTCTACATTTAACAAAATATCTCCACCCAATCTAGTCCACCCCCTGGCCACACCGGGTCCTCAGGATCCTGAACGTTCCATTAGGGTTGACTTTTGCTTTTTTCTTAGATGAGTCCAGGGGATATTGCAGATGGATTCTATTTTAACAAATTTAAACAAGTACGAGTTTTTCCTTACACAAACTGAGAGCCAGCCTCACATCCTGTGACTATTTACTTGAACTGTGTTTGAACCAGGACCCTGCCATTCAAGCACTGTGAGACTTTCAACAAAGTACTGGACCTCTCTGAGTTTCTGTTTTCCCATGAATAAACAGACCTATATATATGGCAGGATTATAAATGTTACATAAAATATTATATATTTCATGCCCAAATAATACCTGGCTCACAGAAGGGTCTCAGTAGTAATTATTTTTTTTAATTTACCATTAAAGAAAATCCTGGATGTTGTCATGAAAAAGAAAAGGTAAGCATTGATTCCAAAGTGGGCAAAGATAAAGTATAAGGAAATTTACAAATAATTTATACAGTATTCTCTGGAATTCAGAGTACCCAATAATTTCAAGAAAATAACCATTAAGCATCAAGGAACGAACTCTGTTAATATGTATAAGAGTTTGTAGGGTGCTTGATAAACCTGGATTGGTAATGTCTGGTATAGACTTTACTGGAAATTTTATTTTCTATGCAGTCAACACAGTGCTGCTAACTAGAGAAGTAATCTTTTAAAGATCATGGTGCCACTAGCGTGTACCCTCTGCTCCTCTGTTGAGTTTCTCTCTGGGGGTGGGGGGGAGTATAAGCAGTATTTTATATTATTAAAATGGGGATATTTAATAAGACTCTGGGCTGGGGGTGGAGGATGGAGTGGGGGTGCATACAAAACAGTGTAGTTCTGGAAGAGAATGGGCAGGATGACCTCATATTTTCCTTTATCTCATTTCTACAGTTCTCTAATAAAATGTTTTCATTATGGAAAAAATTTCAAATTACATGGAATATTTAAATAGCCTTTTATCTTTTGCAGTTGTGTTTGTGTCTATGTGTTTATTACTAATAAAAAGGAACTGTTTATATGTATGTAGCATCAATTTTCTGGAAGAAATCTATTTTTAACTTCCACACAGTATTTTCCTGTGTTGTGGATGATAATGAATAGTAAAATGGGTCAGTCTGTGGGCTGAAGAGGCAAATCTAATGGATCACTGTTGTAGCTGACAAGCAAGCTTTCATTCACGACCTTTGCTTTTCTTATAGAGTTGAACTTGTCTCAGTCCTTTCTGGATGTGTCTCAAAAATGCAGATAATCATTAACCACTGTGTCATAGGTTGGTTAATTAGACAAGCAGGTCAGTAAACCACAATAGCAGCTTTCATCAGATCACAAATTACATCCTCCTAGAGGTTTTAGCCAAGAAAATGCATGAAATAGAACATTTCTAATCCCCTAAACAACATGCATTTCAACTTGGACACCTGCTGTAGTGCAGTGATTCTCAACCAGGATTGGTTTTGCCCCCCCTCCCCCCTCCCCGGGACATTTGGCAATGTCTGAAGACGTTTTTGGTTATTACCACTAGGGGACGCTACTGGCATCTAATGGCTACCTATTAACCAGGGATACGGCTAAGCATCCTCCAATGCAAAATATAGCCTTCCACAACAAATACTTGTCCAGCCCAGAATGTCAGGAGAGCGGAAGCTGAGAAAACCTGCTGTAACTCTAGATGCTAATGTGGCCATTTTAAATTATAGACTGTCCAAAGAGAAAACAGAGTCGACAGTATCCTCACCTCCATCAAATGGTTATTTTTATCTCACAATGTGACATACCCAGTGTGTTAGTCCTTTTTTTGTGTCACTATAAAGAAATAACTGAAGCTGAGTAACTTATAACAAAAAGAGGTTTAATTGGCTCTTGGTTCTGCATGCTGTACATGAGGCATAGTGCCAGCATCCGCTTTTGGTGAGGCCTCAGGAAGTTTACAGTCATGGCAGAAGGCAAAGGGTGAGCCAGTGCATCACATGGTGAGAATGGGAGCAAGAGAGAAAGGAAGGAGCTGCCAGCCTCTTTTAAACAACCAGATCTCCCATGAACGAATAGAGCAAGAACTCACTTATCACAAAGAGGGGATGGTGCTAAGCCATTCGTGAGGGATCCACCCCCAAGATCCAATATTTCCCACTAGGCCCCACCTCCAACATTGGAGGTCACATTTCAATATGAGATTTGGAGGAGACAAACATCCAAACCATATCACCCGGTCTGAATTAAAGTAATCAAATTTACGAAAAAATGAAGTTAGAATGTCTGGCATCAACATCCCCCATCTCCTCATCACCTCTTCTCTAGGTACATGCTCACTGTGGAAAATATACACACTCAAAAGAAGATACCAACATTCATAACATGGTTCAGATATAGCTATCCTACACATGTAGATGGTTTTCAAAAATGAAATCATATTATACATATTTCTTTATAATGTGCTTTTGTAACATAATATGTGATATAGTTTATGTATTAAATAATATGTTGTTTGAAATTTGATTAACAACAATCTAGTGGGGAGATGGGAGAGAAGTGGGAGTGTAAATGAAGCAAGAATAATTGTGAGTTGATCATTGTTGTAGCTAGATGATGGGTTCACAGCTCTTTATTTTTGAGCATATTTGAAATTTTCCATAAGGAAAATGTCCTTAAACAGTAACCTGTTAACTACAACATGTACCATATTAATCATTCTTCCATTGTTGAACAATTGGGTAATTACCAGTTTTTCATTTTTATAAACAATGCTGTGATGGACATCTTTGTAGCTAAATCTGATGGAGCAGATGTGCAGTGTGAGAGAAAGAAAGAAGTCAAGAATGATTCCGAGGTTTTTCCTGAATAACTGGAAGAATGAAGTTGCTGCTAGCTGAGAAGGGAAAAACTCAACTAAGAGCAATTAGAGTCGAAAATCCAGTA